CTTAGATAGTTTCTGTAGGCAAGCTAGCATTAGACTTATTAGCTTAGCAAGTTATATAAGAGATGTTGTCACTTTCTTAATGTATAAATTTCAAACAATTTTATGATAAATAAAGTGATGATGTTTACTTACTTAAAAAAAAAAGATAAATAAATATAGTAAAAATATAATAAGTAGTTAAAATAAAAAGATATTTTATTATTTTCTTTTTATTACTTATTTATTTTTCTTTATATTTTTTAAATAATTTTTTTTAAAGACTAAAGTGCATTATATGCATGGAGTAAACTAATTATGATTTTTTTGTAAGAATTTTTTTGGAAAAAGATTTGTGTTTTTTGTAGTATAGCAAAATATATTGAATGATAGTAAAAAGTAATTAATTAATATATTGTTGGTTCTTTAAGTCAACAATATAAACATTTTTAATATGTGATTTGGTTTTTTTATTTACAAAAAAAATTTTCAAAAAAAGAACATGATAATTTAATAAGATATATATATTAATAAGAAGTAAAAATAGAAAAAACCTTAAAAAAAATTTATAAAGAAGTAATTGTTACAGACAGGTCTTTTTTTATGCAATCAAAAAAAAAGCAAGGACTCCAAACTTGCTTTTCTTTAACCAGAAGTTTTATTCTAATACATTAATATATTTCTTTAATTTTTTTAAGGTTCTTGTAATAAAGATAAAAAATGTGTAGAGGACTTTGGAATGTTAAAAGGTAAAAAAAATATTTGTTTTTTTAATTTTGAAAGATACTTACTAAAAAAAGAAATTTTTAAGAAAAAAGTTATATACAGGAGAGAGTTTTTAAGACTTAATATATTATTATAAAATATAATTATATATTAAATTTAATTGTTAATATAAATTTTTTAAAAAATATTATTATACTATATTTAAAAAATTTTATTATTAATATAATAATAGCTAGAATTTCTAATGATATTATTTTAATATAATTTTGATATAAGTTTAAAACTTTAATTATAGTTCTTAATATTAAATTCATCAATTAATTAAAATATAATAGTTATTGTAAATTTTTATAGTTGCAATTAATTTTTTATATAGAATAATTTAATAAATTCAAAATTTATTTGATTAAAAATTTTTAACAACAAATTAATTAGTATATATAGTTCTATTTCAAATTTAAATTCAATTTTTTGTTTTATTTATAACTTCAACTCTATTATTAAAATATATAATAAATAACATAGTATTATTGAAAATTAATTATTAAAAGAAAATACTATACAATAAATTTTAATAATAATTTAATTAAATATCTTGACTGCTCTTTTGAATTATGATATAATAATATATGTATAATATATTTTACAAGTTTAAAAGTATTTTTCTATAGATAATTAACAAATTCATTTTTATATTCAAATATTAACTCTATAATATTATTTAAAAAATAGTAAAATTTCTATTAAAAAATGAATTTACTATTTATTTATTTAATATTTTTACAAATTTATTTATTTATTACTACTTTAGAAAATTAAATTTTGTATAACTTATATTATATTTAACTTTATAAAAAACAATATAATTGTTAATAATATTTAAGCAAAACTATTTAACATAAGGCTTTCAATTGAAAATATATTGCATATAGTTTTTAATATAGATTAATAGTTTTTTTTAAATATTTTTATCAAAATTAGATACAATAGAGTTAATTTTTAGTTTATTTAAAAAAAAAGCAAAGATTAACTTTGTTATAATAATATCTAAAATCAATTAGATTACTTAACAAAAATTTATCAGTTTTAATATAATCAAATCTAAATGCACATCTAGAATTGCAAGAACTATATATTGAAACAATTTTTTTTTATATTTTATAAAGAATCTTATCACTAATAATTTTAATTTTGAAAGTTATATAAGATAATACAAAAAGATATATAGTATTACTAATGCATATATAATTTATGAGAGCTTTTTTATATTTAAAATATTTAACCAATTATACTGTGCTTTTGGTTTTTAATTACTTAACTTATCAAACAAATTTATTAAAAACAGAGTATATAATCAATTGATTTCATATAATCTATATAATTTAAATTTAGGTTTGTAATATTAAATCAATAAATTTATAATATATTATAAGTTTTATTTATTATTAAACTAATTATTTGTATTTAATATTACAATTCTTAATCAGATCATTAAAAATATTTTATCAATTTATTTTTATTTTTATATTTTGGTTTACTTTCACTACTATTATTATTACTACTACTACTACTACTATTATTATTATTATTACTACTACTACTACTATTATTATTACTATTGCTTTTCAATAAATATTTCTATTTTTTATAAATAGCCAATAATTTTTTAACGGTCGTCTTATATAATTTTAAATTAAAGAATAGGTATGTTTTTTAAAATTTAAATTAAAGTTATACTTGTTAACTTGTACTTTGAGCTCTTTTTTTTTACCAGAACACTCAATTATTCTACCCCAACTCTGGTCCATTATTAAATGTTTACTAAGTTACAAGCGTGTTATAACGGACCAAATTAATTACAGATTAGTATTGTTTTCTAAGACCAATATTTATTTACCCCAAACTCTCTTAACACTAATGTCAAATGTTTCTAACAATTTAAATATAACTTCAGGTCAGTGTTCTAATATATGCTTTTATTATCTTCTAGACTATTTTATTCTTGAGCCATTCTATTCCTACACATTTGTTCACCATGGATGCGTTTAATTTTCCGCTTTGCCTACAACATAGATATGTCGAGTAGTAACATTTCTCATGCACATGGAGGGAGTTATTGTGTAAACTTCAGTAGTTCTAAACCAAAAGGGCAATATAGACTATTTATTTATAATAAAAAATCAAATGATTATATGTGGCGAATATAATACACAAGAAAAAAAGGATAAAAAAGAAAAAGAAAAAGACTGTTATAGTGAGTGTCGCGATCATTTTCTTCATGGCATGCTAATCTCTCACTAATTGTGTATACAACTGAACTATTTAACTTTATCAACTATATTTCTTAACCAGAAATATAACGATTCACCATATGTACAACATGATCCTTCTTAATATTGTAATATGAAATGGCATTATGGTCTTCTAATTGTCTTCCTCTGAAAATTAATCGCTGATACTCAATTTCAATTCCTGAAAAAAAGATTATTGTTAAATGCATCATCTCTTTTCTCTTGTCAAAATAAAGATAAATTGATGTACCTTCTTCTTCTTTAATCTTGTCTTTGAGAGCTCCAATTGTATCACTTTCTTTCACATAAATATTGACTTTTTTGCCTTCTATATTTAATACTGTGATTTTAAACGTATCACCAATGTGATCATTGCTTGGTAAATGACTTTTGGTCTTATTGGAATTATTGCGTGAAAACTTGCGCCTTATCTTATTGAAAATTGTATTGGTTAAATTAGATTCAAAGATTAGCTTAGCCTCGACCAATCGAGATAGTGCGGGATATTCTTTGAAGCTAGTTTCTCGGTTACAAATTGAACAAATGTTTTCTATCTTTTTGATACAATCCGTACAATAAAATTTGGGACAGCATTGTGATACTTGAGGATTATGTTTTAACTCATCACATATAATACATTTAAAATCGCTCAAATTCATTTTGAAGATATCTGAAGAGAAAAGAGGTAAAAAAAACTCTAAGAATAGGTTGTTAATTTTTAACGAAATGGTATGATTATTTTATTTATTCGCGAAAAATTACAGGTATTTATATATGCATGAAAAATACTGGACACATTTCTCAGTAAAAATGAACGGTCTTATCTGGAATCTTGTGATTTGATTGTCTATAAAGAAAACTAGAATTCTTTCGTTCCAGAATTACTTTCGAGAACAAAGTACAGTACCAGTGGGCGTTTATGACATGAGCTTGATTGAAAGGTTACACTTCCACTTTTGGAAATTCATTTTTAAACGGATACTACTGTAATACGTAAATGAACAGCCCAGTTAGTGCGTATAAAAGAAAAACAAAAATTTCTCCTAATCTATTATAAATGATTTTTTTCCTTCGTTTAAAATCTATAGTTATAATGATTAAATGTTTGCAAATGAATCTCTTCACGGAGTTCAACCCTTCATTTTGCGGTGACACATGCAAAGATATTGCATGTGTAACCTACATCTCTATTTAATGGAAAATAGAAAATTTTTTGTTTAATGTAAATATATAAAAGTACAGTAATTAATAATATAGAGAATTTAACTTTCGAGTATATACAAGCACAATGTTTGACAGATACGATGATTTTTGTGAGTTTATCAGAAACCATCTGAATCCTCGACAATGCACATAATAAGATGATACTAATTATTGCAAATTCTCTTTTATTTGAACATGTATTTCTTGAAAAGCAAGTTTTGTCAATAACGAGAGTATTATTCTTTTTGGAGTGGCGGCAGCAATTCTATTTGCATTATTGGTATACATCCTTGGATGGTGTTGTGGTCCAAAGGTAAGAAAGATCCTTTAAGATTTCAGCTTATCATTTTCATTACTTGACATCATCACTTCACTTAATTATGTAGAGCGAAAACTTTGTCGTTTTCAATTTTTTGCTATTAATATATGACTTGGGGTTTGATATTGCATTCTTGTTAGTGAATGGTAATGATGTTCCAACGCTCTATACTCCTAGGTAATATTTATAATGTTGCATTCATTTTGCCTTACTAAATAATGAATTAATATTTTCTTTAAAACTCTGATAGTCTTGTGATCATAATACTTTCCGCCATCTTCAATTTAATAATGGGTTTCT